AGAACGCCACTTCCCCAACTGGGAGGCACATCCAGCTGCCTGAACAACAGGAAATATTAAATGTATTAAAGTGGGAGCGTGTGGAGCAGCCACAGATCAGTCACTTAACTGAGCACTCAGCCTACTCTGAACTTTCTCTGCTAGAACTGGCTGCACAAATCCCCACAGAAACAGCCCAAAACTACCCCAGAATGAAGTGAAACACCACAGGGGATTATTTTCTCATGAGAGGAAAAAAACACAAATCTCTGAAATTTACTATCAGTGCAAGAAACAGGCCTGTCTAAAATTAGAGATATTAATAAGAAGTGCATTTTGCAGACACCAAGAAGTAAAAAATATTCCAGCTGCAATCACCAGGAAGGGACGACTCGCCCTGTAACGTTGTGATGGGCAACACGTGAATCAGCGAGGGAAAAAGAGCAAAAATGAGGAGGGGGAAAACTGGATGTGGCTGCAATTGTCACTTACCATCTGCGGGCTGCTGGAAGTTGACGTAGGCGTAGCCCAGGGAGCGGCGGGTGATCATATCCCTGCAGACCCGAATGGACAGCACGGGGCCAGCCGGGCTGAACTTCTCATAGAGCATGGCCTCGGTGATATCGGGGTGCAGGTCCCCCACGTACAGCGAGGCCATGGGGTAACTGCTGGCGGCCGTGTTCATCTTCCCCTCGGCGCCCTCAACCTCTGGGGGTTTTGCACTCGGGGCGGGGGGGGTCTCAAGTCAAGCTTCTTATAAATATTAATTCTGGGGGAACACTCAAACTCTTAATTAAAGCCTAAGCTGCGGCGGGCAGAAGCTTGGGACAAGGGGGGCTGGCACCAGGACAGAGCAGCTGAGAGGGTTGTGCAAGCTTGGAAAAAATCAGCAAAAACACCCCAAAGTTAAGCCTCCTGGAGAGCAGGGATCGGGTAAGACGCCGAAATTCATACGCCGGCTCCCGAGCGCTTTAAGGCAAAAACCTCCTAAAACCCCAACGTCTCTTATCTTTCGCTTCGATTTAGCCCAGATTCTGCACGGCGGCGGCCCGTTGATTTTCTGAGGAAACAAAAAAAATAAAATAAACAAATAAAGCTCTAATAAAACTATGTCTTTTAAACCTGGCTCGGCTAGATAGCCTAAAGGTATTATAAATAAAGCAGCGCGGCCGTGGCGGCGCGGCACGCGGCGGCCCCTGAGGGCGGCCGGGCGGGCAGGGCGCGGCCGCCGCGCTCTCCCAGCGCACCGCGCTCCCTACCCCGCGGCGCCGACCCGGGGCGGGCTCGGCGGCACCGGTCCCGACCCCGACTCACGCGGTGCGGCCGCGACAGGCGGAGAAGCGACGGTTTTGTGCGGCGGGCGGCCCTTTATAGGCGCCGCGGCGGCGCGAGTGGGCCGCGGTGCCGCCGAGAGGAGGCGGCCGGGCCCGGCCCGGAGCGCTCCGCGCCGCACGCAGCGCCGCCCAGCGGGCGGGAGGACCCGGCCTGCTCCCGCCATTTCGGGGGCGCCACAGGAGAACGGGCGGCGTTGGGAGTGATTAAAGTTAAAATCGTTGTTTCCAACAACGATTAAAGTGAATGTTTGTTGGAAATTGTGTCGCTTGCCTAATTAGATTTAGGATAATAAAGGAAAGGAGATGCTGGAAGGGGGTCTGGAGCATCGCCCTCATGAGGGGAGGCTGTGGGAGCTGGGCCTGGAGGAGGGAAGGCTGAGAGGGGATCCCATAAATCTATAAAATATCCCCAAGGGGTGTCAGAGGAATGTGCCAGACTGTTCAGTGTTGCCACCATGGAGCAACAGCCATAAGCTAAAACACAAGTTTCACCTCAACAGATTTAGGGACGAACAATCCCCTGTGGGCAGCTGGCCGGGAGATGGAACCACAGCAACAAACCCCAGAAGAGTTTGTGGGGTTGTTTCCCCTCCCAGCCCATCCTACATGTGCAGAATGTCTCACAGGGCAGCTCAATAAAACACAAAAAATCCAGAGAAGCCTCCTGGGGAGAGCAGGGCCGTGGGGCTGGCACGGGGCGAGGAGCAGAGGAATGCACCGGGAGAGCGAACAATTCCTCTGGGATTTTTCTTCTCACTGCTCCGAGCTCTGGTTTGGGAGGTGTCGCTGGCAGCGGGATGAGGAGCGGTCGGAGCTGGAGCTGTTCCCACATCCTCCTCCTCTTCAGAGCATCATTTTTCCCCAAATAAGCGCGAGTTCCTGCGGCAGCCCCGGCGCTGTGCCAGCTCCCGTCACGGGCTGCCCTGGAGCGGGACCAAGGGTCCCGATGGCTCCCCATGGAAGCGAGCTGTCAGTCCTTCTTCCCAGGGTGAGGCTTAAATAAGCTCCCAGCAGAAAGCTGCTGGAATGGGAGAGGGATTCACCCCCCTCTGCTGCTTCACGCTCACGAGATCAGCTCCGGGGAGATCCGTAATTATCTATTTCCAGCATCTTCAGCGGAGCGTGAGGACACGGCAGTGCAGGATTCAGTGATTCATCAGTGACCTTCAGGCTCCATGGCTGTTCTGTTAAGGGGGACTAAGATAGTCTGTTAGCTGGGCATTGTGGCTTTTCAATTGTTAAATTGCTTTTAATTTGTTTTAAAAGCAGGATACAACATTATCATAAAAATGCGATATGATATCTTCCCCTTCAGTGGAATAATCTTCCACTACAGCGGAATAATCAAGAGTAGCAGGAAAAAGGTAAAAACAGCAAAGCAAATTGTAGCGATTTGCAATATTTTCTGTCTTGAAAAACACGAATGACACGAATCCTCCTCCTCCTGGTCTCGTCTTTCTCCCAACAGCTGACGGTGCTGCGAGGCCGCACTGGTGGGATCACATCTGCCACTGCTTTGTGCTTGGTCCTTGGAGCTGGCACCTCCTCCGCTGGGAAACCAGGGACATGACACAGGCATGTCGCCGTGGAAGCGTTCAGCTCCCGCTTTGACAGCTAAAGTCAAAACACAGCCCAGCTCAAAGAGCGTGTTTCCACATAAAACGCCCTTTGGCTGCAGCAGCCGCTGTGGCTCTGATTTGGAACATATTTAGTGACATTTGTGCTCCCTCCCAGGGGACTCGGTGCAGACAGCCGCAGTCCTGCGTCCTGCTCGATCCTTTTCACTCGCCACGCAGAATAACGGGTTGGGGGTACAAAACTGCCCCAGGGGCCCCCCTGATCTTGGTGCCCTCAACACACGAGTGCAGCTGCTCCTGGTGACCAGCGATACCTGAGATCCTCCCAGCTGGCCCTCTCAGGACCTTCAGCAGCGCCTGGAGCAGAGGGAACATCTGTTAATGGCTTTATCTGGCCCATCCATGCCCACCGATGGTGCTGGTGGGTGATCCATCCATCATCCAGAGGCTTCCCAAGCTGCCGTGCCTCCTTGTGTCTGAGCTGTGCCTCCGTCGTTGATGGTCACCCTGAAAGATCACCCAGTTCCCAGCACAGATGGCAGGCTTTCCACCAAATGCTGCCCCAGGTTTAGGGTTTCTCCTCCTCGGCTTTAGGATTTCACCAGCAGATGGCAGGGCGGCATTGCTCCACGAGCAGAAAGGAGGGGAGAGCATTTCACCCAGGGCAGACAGCAGCAGAGCTGAGATAAGCAATGTTTTCCATGCGGGGGAATTTGGGAGAGCAGGGCTGGTTCCTGGAGCACCTGCTGCACAGCAGATCTCCCACAGCCTGGGAGTGTCCCTGTCCCCTCCAAGCTCGTTCATCAGGACCCTGTTTTGTTCCAGCCACGTCGGGTGGGAGCCTTGTTTAACACCGCTGTGCCACCGAGCTGCCCACGCCTTCCCACAGGCTTCTCCATCAGGATTTTTTTGCCTGAAGAACAAGGATGAAGGGAGTGCACCAAGAGTTCGGGGATTTCCCCTGCAGGGTAGATCAAAAGCTGCCAGGATGTATTAGGGTTTAGGCTAAAGAAAACCCTGGGAAAAAAAAAAATAAAATGAAGCTGCAGTCCCGAGCTACTGCTCTGTAATCACCGTGTTGCTGTGGGGAGAAAACCCCACGGGCCTGAACCGATGCCCTTCCACCCACCCTGGCTCCCATTTGATCCGCAGAGATCAGGAAGTGGGTTTGTTTTTTTTCTTTTTTTTTTTTTTTTCTTTTTCCCACTGTCTCTGTTTTGTTTTAGCGCTGTAGCCCGCGGGGCCGGTTTGTGTGCCTGCCTCCCACGGAGGGGAATTTGGTTCCTCTCTCTCTGGCCGAGGCCACACCAGAGCACTGAGCTCCCACCGCCACCTCCAGCCGGGTCAGGGCAGCCCAGGCACCAGCGGGGCGAGCCGTCATCAATAGCCCCATTATTGCTCTTGAAGTTTCTCCCCGCTTCCAGACGGATGCTGCATTACTCCATCACAGCTGCAGTTGCTCCCTTCCAGCAATTCCCCACACAGCACTTAAGGAAGGGATTTATGGGCGGTTTTGAAAGGCATTTTGCAGCGAGAAGGAGTTATGGGAAAGGAAGTTGAATTCCCACCATTCCCCAGTCAAATTCTCCCAAGCATCTTTCACGAAGAGGGATCATTTACTGGTCCTTTCCTCAAAACAGAGACAGGCTCTCAGCTGTGGCTCTTTGTTTAGTCCAAAGCGTTTCCCGACAGCGAGATGCCACAGGGGTTATTCTGGCCCTGGCTGCAAAGGGTCAGGAGACCAGGGCGAGCCCTCAGTCTGGCTGTGAGGCTCTGCCAGACCCCATCTGTTCCCTGACACTTTTGTAGACATTAAATGAAATTATTTCTTCTATTGCCAATCTCAGGGCAAGCCTTGGTGAATACCCTCTGATTTTGACTCGTTTTCCAAAGTAAAAAGTCTTGGGGCCAGAATGACCAAGAGCTGTAAAACAATCAGAGGAGATGTCACCTTAAATTTTTCATCTTACCTTTTTTTTTTGAAGCTTTTCAGGGATCAAAACCTGCCACAAATTCACTCACCCATGACCTTCCCAGGTCCCTTCTGTGATCCAGGCAGGCTGGATGAGCAGATCGGATTCACTTCAACACTACATTGCACAACCAGGACAGGGGTTTGAAAGACTTTATTTGACACCTTTGCTGATGTCACAGCTTGTGAATCTAAGAGCACTGTACAGTGTAAAGTGAGGCCGTGAGCTCTAGTGCACAAACCAGCTGCAGGAACAGCCAGGGTCCACGAGGATTTCCCTCCTGTGACTTTATTAAAAGGGAATATGTTGTTCCTGGCTGATTCCGGCACTTGAGGACAAGGGTGAGAAGCAGCAGAGGCATTTCTGTGTGTTAAGTGCCATGACTTCCATCAAAACAACTGGGAGGGACTCACTTCCCAAACAATGGCAGATACACACATTGACATGCACATGGCAGATACCATCTGCAGGAAGGAAAACAACAGCTCATCCACACAGCCCAACCGGCTGCACCTCTGACCTGAGGCATGGGAAGAGTTTCTCCCATTCAAAAGAGATCTTCTCCCTCTTTATTACCTTTCTTTGCACTAACTTCTTCTCTCTTTTCATGTCGGAGTGCTGTAGAGATGGGCGAGGGGTGGGCATGCAGCTGGGTCCAGAATATTCTGCACGTGTATCCCAGCAAGTCAAGGCACAAATGCAGGGAGCTGTTCAGGTGAGGGGGAGCGCTGGGACACCCTGCCCTGCCACCACAGGACATGGCACAGGGGCAGGGTGGCTTGAAAGCTTCAAGCTTCTGTTCTTTCTGCCCAAAGAAGAGAGGAGGGGAGGCCAGCTGCAGGAGCAGAGGTGTGATCCGCTGTGACAGTCATATAGGAGCACACAGGGCGAGGCAGGGAGAGCTCTCAGGACTCAGGACAAGTGCAGTGACACCTCAGTGGGTTTTGGTCCCGGCCCAGGGAAGGGGATGAGAGGTGTGAGACCCAAACATAGTGCTGGAGAAAGAAAACAGAGACATTGTGGGAGGGGAGGGTGAGGGATGCTGAGCTCAGGGAGAACAAGGGAGGCACTTCAAATTCAGGCTGCTCCAATCCATTTTCCCCCTTTGCAGTCAGGGCTGTTCAGCAGGGGGTGGAGGAGAGACAGCTCCAGCAGGGAGCCTGACAGAGGAAAAGGCATTTTCTTCTCACTTTGGCAGTCAGAGCCTTCCCCTCGGTGACAGGCGTCCCTTTGAAATCCTTTGTCTCACCTCTTCACACCTCGGCGGGGCAGGGGCTGTGCCCGGGTGGCCTGGCCGGCTGCTCCAGCGGGGTTTGTGCCAGGAACCCAGCACAGGCCCTGCAGCCACGGCGGGATCTCAGCTGGGCTGTGGGAAAGAGCCCTGCTAAGCCGCTGCCTCACTCCACCTTAAGGGCACATAAGTGGGAAAAGCTGGTAATGCGGAGAGGAAAGCGCAGGGATTAGCAGGCAGCCAGTTCTCTTCGGGAGCTGGGGGGGCTGGAGCCTGCCTTGAGGGTGCCAGCAGTGCTGGGCATGGGGTGTGAGCTGTGTCCATCCCCCCACACCAAAATTAGGTGCTGCAGCTGGGGGATGCGTCGCAGGGAATCGGCACGAGCAAGTCTGGCTGGCAGCTCCGAGTCCCCGGGGAAATAAAGACAGGATTTCAAGGCTGGCTGTTTTCCAAAGGAGAGCAAGGCTGGGTTCTGCAGAGGGGTTTGCTGGAGGAGGAACAGGGTTGGGATCTGCGTGTGCCCCCTCCCTCGTATCCAGAAGGGTCTGGAGAGTGGCCTCGTGCAGACAAGTGCATGGAATTGGATGTGATTTACGTTTGCAGGCATCACGAGGGAGAGGACGTGTGATGGTGAGGCGAGGAGGGCGGTGCAAGGAGGGAGGCAAGAGCAGAGAGAATTTTCTCTATGGATCCTTGGCTTCTGCAAAGCAGGAGAGATGCCTTTTCAACCGAGTTTGTTCTCAGCCTTGTGGGCGACGAGCGCTGGAGAACTCCTGTCTCCGGAGGGGGAGGGAGGGTCAGAAAGCCCCGATTTCCGTCGCCCAGGAGCGGCAGATCCTGGATGTCCCAACCCTGATCCCTGGTCCCTGCGTGGCAGCACCCAAGACGGGAGGTGCCGCGTAAGCTGGCGGCACAGGGATGCCGGCAGAGGCTGGGGAGAAGAGGAATGTGGCGATTTGGCTGCTCTTGGATGAGCCCTCTCTCAGTGCTCCCGCTGGCGATGGCATCCTGGGCACGGCTGGCACGGCTGCGGCCGAGCCGGCGCCGCGGGCTCTCCGGCTGGAGGAGCCCATCCTGCTGGCCAGGAAGCTCCGGCGGGACGGCAGCATCTCACCGGGGACACGGCGGAGAGGGGCAGGCCTCACTGCAGGGCTGGGGTAAGCCAGGGAAGATGCAGTCAAAACAACCGGAGCGGGAGCAGCCTCCCTCCTGGGGATCTGCACAGGACCGGCGGCGCCGTGCAGGAAGGACCAGGGCCAGGTCTGGATGGGCAGCAGGGATGTGGCCACGGGTGAAGGCTCCATTTCTGCCACGTAATTATTCAGGTGGGACAGGAGTCGCAGCCGGATGGGGTCGGCAGCGTTCTGGCCCTCGAGGATGCCCAGGTACCTGACAACTTCGGTGAGACACTCGCGGAATCCGATGCTTCTGTAATCCACAGCCAGAGCCCGGGCATCCAGGAAGCCTGGAAGGAGAGGACATGGGTGACAATAAGGCCGTGCAGAGCTCAGGAATGCGCTTGGATTTCACTACCCTCTCTAATGCACTGTGTATTTCACTTGAGGCACTTTGCTGCCGTGTGATATTCCTGAAGCAGGCAGCCAAGTGGGTGTCCCAAGGGACTGGACGTTGGTGTGCATGAGAGAGGCATCTGCGGTTATCTCAGCGGGATAAACCCGCCAGGGTCAGGGAGCCTCTCACTGCTGTGAGACCAGAAGGAGGTTTCATTAGCTGTGCTCAGGAAAGAAGGGTTTTTTTTTCCTGTTGGATTCTACCAGTGATGCTGGAGATGTGGCTGTGGGCTAGATGGGCACTGGGGTTGAGCTGCTTTTGCCAGTGGGATATTCCACTCGGGACAATGTCTCCTCAACACACAGCTGAGCACCACTTCCCTCTGCCTGGCTCCCAAAATTTACGCTCCCTTTAAAGCAGTGTCACAGGGCAGTGGCAGAACCAAAGCATCTGGGCTGAGGAAGCTCAAAGCCACAGAAATCAGCAACCAACCGCTGATTTTCAGGCTTCTGCTCCCAACTTGCAGCTTCATGAGACCATATGCAATAAAGCAGAGAATGTCACAGCACAGTGAAGTGCTGGACCACTGTGCTTGATGGGGTCTCTCGTGACAATGCAGCCCTTTGTTGCAGTGCAGTCAAACTGAATATCTAAACAAATGTTCCAGACCAAGTTACAGCCCTGAACCAAAGCCTGGATGCCAACAATGTCCCCAGCAAGCCAAAACTGGGTGGTAAGCAAGCCAGAGGCTTCTTTACTGAAGCTGTGATCTCCATCCTGTTAACTGGAACAGGACAGAGGGTCTGTACTGAGGTCTCAGTACAAATAAGACCTTTGTTGGGTTTTTCACAGGGCTCCCTCTCTCTTCTTATAACAACCAAGAGACACACACACACAAAAAAAAAAAAAAAAAGAACAGAAAGGGGAAAAAAGCCTTGTTTATTTGCAGAGTCCTCATGCAGAATTCAGCCTCCGCAGGAAATGTATCCCAGGGAGGAGGTAAAGAGTTTAATATGGTTTTTCTGGAAGCAGGCTCCATTTCTGAGCAGGAATAAATGAGTCTCTGGCAAAACAGCTTTTAGCAGGGGGTGTGACACCAACAGTGCTGTCCCTGTGGGGCTGGGGGTTCAGCATCCCACATACCCCAATCTCCCAAATGGATGCATGGGATGCTGACCCATCTGTAGGAAAACACCCACCTGCCCTCCCTGAAAAGGTATTTCCCTTGGGAAGCAGGCAGAGCTGGCTGGAAGCAGCTCCCCAAATTCCAGGGGGGAGTTTTCCTTCCAGGTTTGCACCTTCACCTCACCCATGTGCTCATAAGAACAATTCTTACCTGTTCCTCCTGTGGCATGAAGCATTTTTAAGTGATCCACTGTCATTTGTAGAATTTCTGCCTTCTCCAGCTTGGAAGACCCCTGTGTTGGGAGCAGAAAGGAAAAGCCATTTGTCATTTTATGGTCCAGGGCTTTGTGCCTCTCAGGAGCCGGGGTCTGATCAATGGTTTCCTCCCTGAAACCTCCCTGAAGCCCAGGAGTGCTCAGAATGGCTCAGGGCAACCACCAGGGCTCTGTTTTTTACATCAAGTGAACAGAAAAAAGAGCTCCTTCCCGATGCAGCTTTAAAAAAATCCCTATTTCTGTGCTTCCTCATATCTGCAAAACACTTCCTAGATTGATTTGATCCTCCCCAGGGCTCCTGAATATTTGCTAATACCATTTCACCACCCCATTTCCACCACCTACTTACTCCCCGGAGCGAGGAGGATAAGAAAGGCAAAGCCTTGCTCCAGACTGCCTCATTCTGGGGGCTGTACCCCAAACCCTGCAGCCTCACAGGGGGCACCAGGGGCTCACCCAAACACTCACCTGCTTCTCGAAGGCCGTGGGCACCAGGCGCCGCAGCTCCGAGAGGCTGCTGTTGATGCGGTCACGGCGCCGCTTCTCGATGATCTGTGGGAGATTCCCAAGCAGACAGAAGAAACCACAGTCACTTACAGCCACAGCTCACAGATTTAAAACCCTCCAGGTGCTTTGGGAGGGCCGTGTGTGTCAATGTTTTGGGGTGCAGAAGTTGAGGGAAGAAAGGTGGACTGGTGTGATAAGGCCAGGTGAAATTGCTCTCCCCTTTTCTGACAAATGTGTGGAGAAAAAAAAAGCTTTTTGGGAGAGTTCTGCAGGAGGTGGAGCAGGAGCAGTGTAAAGGTGATTTTAACAGTAAGGATGGGCCAACAGCCCCTCAGTGCACACAGGGGGACACCCCTGCCACACAGGGCCAGCCTGACCAGGGGACAGAGCTGCCCTGGTCGTCATAAAGGACACTCACCCCTCTCCTCTTCTTCCTGGCTTGTATCTGAGATGTCGTGGTGGGAGACACAGACCTGGAAACATGGCTGGAAAGGAAGGAGAAGGGATCATTTCTGGCTGGAGAGCAACCTCTGTTGCACATATGTTCTACACACGTTTGCCATCTGCATTTTCCTCCCCCCACCCCAAAAAATGTCTTCTGTGGTTCACATCTCATTTTTACCCACAACACAGAGCTCAGGAATTGGGGATGGGGAGCAAAGCAAAGACTTGAATCCCACTCTCTCCCCTCCAAGAATCTCCCACCAGCTTGGGACAGATTTCTGCACCAAACTGTCCATCCTCTCCCAGGCACAATTCTTCTATCCCAGCCTGTGATGGCATCTCCACGGGGCTGGAAAAGCAGCCATCTGAGCTCTGGAGTCATGGCCTTTTTTCCTCCGCGTGTGAACCTCCCGTCTCTCGTGTCTGAGCCTGCCCTGTCTGCAGGGCTTTGCATCTCAGAGCCGTGATAGCAGGAGGGATCTGAGCTCTGGGATCCCAGCTCCCACCCAGGGAGGGCTGGCTGCTCCTCAGGGTGAGGCCAGTGGTGGCACTGATGTGGTTTCTGAGGGCTTCCCAGAGAGTCGCTTCCCAAACCACAATTTTCGGGGTGGGCTGGGATGTTCTGAACTCACGGACACCCCTGAACCATTCAGAGAGGAGCTGGGCAGGGAGGACGCCTGGCAGGAGGTGACAGAGCAGGGACCCTCGTGCTGGCTCACAGCTCTGCTCAGGGGACGAGGGACATTGTGGGGACAATCTAAGGATCAGGGCCCCACAAACCACCCCGTGCCTGCCCAAAGGTCAGCACTAGACACGCAGAGGGAGGCAAAGTTCAACCCTTAGGTCCCCATGGAGGTGAAGTCTCCATAACCACGGACAACCGGGCGTGGGAAACTCCCTGCAGCAAGACCCCGTGGCTGAGGAGGGGGACGAGGCTGGCTGGGCCACCTCCCACCTCCCCCAAGCAGGGTTTGTCCCTCTGGAAAGGGCAGCTGGCTCAGGGCTGTTTCTGTTCCTTACGAAACTCGGAGCAGGGATGTGAACACGCCTGCAATCCCGGCCAGCCCGGCGCGCCGCAGGGAGCAGAGCTGGTGTCAGACACCCAAATCTGGAAAAGGGGCACTCGGGTTCACCCCAATCCAAATGTTTTTCAGTTTGACGAAGCATTTTAATAAGAGTCTATTAAGGATTTTCCTGCACAGACAGTGCTGTCTGCAGCGAGCCGACCCAGCGCAGCCTATTAAAAATAGGCCCAAGCGAGGTGCTTTCAGAAGTGGTTTTACACAATAACACGTTCTTCTACTGCCTGCTCTGCTCATCTCCATACAGGTCCCCTATTTGAATGTCTGCTGGGTGGGCTCTCTCTGGGCAGAGGTGCTGGCTGGCTCCACAAGTACTAACACGTGTTGCCAGCTACACAGACACGCAGAGAATGAGCAGTTTTGGTGTGAAAACAGGCTCTGTGTGGACACCAGGGTGTTTTAGGAGCAGGAGGTAGGTGCTGAATTCACCTGAAAATGCAAAGTAGGCACCCAAAGAGGAATAGTGATTTTTGAAACTCTCTTTGTAGAGCTGTCTGGATGCGTTGCTCTTAGTGAGCTTCAAGTCCAGATGTGGATATCAACACCCATCTCACTGCAAAATGTATTTTAAAAATACATCTGGTGGATTTGAACCACATAAAAGATGGCGTGAGTATATCCTCCAGTGATTAAAATTTCTGCATTGCTCTTTGCTTGCTTTTACCATCCACAGCATAACTTTGGCTGTGAACTGAGCAGATCCTGCACTTCTGCAGTGACCCCGGAGCCTAAACTTGCTCCACGCACTGATCCAAGCCTCACACCCGGCGTGACTCATCCCCTCACTGCAGGGAAACTGGTTTGCCCAAACCACTCAACCGATGGGTAATGGGCTGGGAACCCCAGCCAGGCAGCCTCTCTCTGCTCTAATCACTCCTCCTCCTCACTCCCCACCTGGAAATGTTTGATTTTTCTGGGTGCACCAGCATCCCATGCGGGATGGCGTTACTTGGGGTGTGACCTCAGCAGGGCAGGAACAGCTCTTTTGGCCGTAGATTTGCGTGGCATGAGGAACAACATCCACCTATACAAATATCACCAGATCACAGCCAGCCTGGTTCCACCACTGGCTCCAGAAGGCAAACACATTAGCAGCACCAGAGAGAGATTAAAAGTTCGTTCTTACTGGTCATCAAAATAAAATATTGAGACAAAAATTCCAGTATTTTATTCCTCGGGGTCCTATGGACTCTGTGCTGCACCGATGTGAAGAGGTGGGATCCATTTCAGCTGCAGCAGGAAAGCAGCTGAAATATTGATGCACTTGGAAATGCATAAGGGCTCAGGGAATTTCTGCAGGACATTTTGTGTAAGACGTGCCCGACTCTGCTGCGACTGTATCAGAAGCAGATTCATGAATTTAGTCCCATGGGAAGCTGAGCTTGGCACCAGCCAGGCAGTTTCTCCACTCAGGATACCAAAGAGCAAGAGGGAATGAATTAATCCAAGGCCTCACTGGACACCGAGGGAGGGGAAACACTTGGCTACTGAAACAAGAGTTCAAAAGCAGCTGATTTTTGGATGGGAACAAATAACAGAGCCTTTCCTTCATCCCCTGTGCCGTCTGCACCCTCGGAGCCTGGGAGGGCTGACCCAGCCTGGCAACCCGGGCTGCCAGCAGCGCTGGGGATGCCCGGTGCCAGGCGAGCCCGAGGGCACTGCCTGGGGAACCACGCACGGTCCTGTCCTCACCATTCCCTCACAAATAGCAAAGCCCAGAGCCGAAAGTGCAGCTCAGCAGCGATGGGACAGAGCCTGCCGAGCTGCCGAGGGGCACCGGGGCAGCCCTTCCCTGCTCGGGCTCCCCCCCTAACGCATCACAGCCCCAGCTGCTGCCTCACGAACGCATCAGCACGGCAGAAGCGTTTTCCTCATGCAAAACCTCTCGATTCTTCCACATTCCCTGGGAGCCCTCGGGATGCCGGGAGTGCAGGGGTGTGGGTGCCTCTGCTCTGGGGGGGCTGCCCCATCTCGGGGCGCAGAGAACAGAACGGGCTCCCACTGCCCTTCTCCCACCTGGCAGGAGAAGACCACCGCGCTGGCTTTGATGGGATTCTCCTGAAGCTCCTAACGCAGCTTTAACACTTGTACGGCCACTTCGGTTTCCTTGCGGGGTCAGCCCCACGGCCAGCACCAACCCCGGGGTCATCCTGCCGGTCCCCGCAGGACCAGCCCGACCCGGAGGGGTTAAGCGAGGTGCGAGGGACTCCCGGTGCGGCGGTGGCAGCGCCGGTGCCCTCCCGTGCCGTTCCCCGGCAGACACCGAGCGCTGCCGCCCCGGGGAGCGGCGCCGGGACCCCAAAAATCCGCGTGTCACGGAGCCTGCCCTCACCTGTACTCCTCCTCCCGGCCCACGTCGATGGTGCCGTCAGACTCCGTGTCGGACGAGCTCTCCTCGCAGAGCCTCTTCATCCTGGCGTGGGGAGAGGCCGGTGGGCTCGCCGAGGTTGCCCCACGCGTGGCCCCGGTGGCCGCCGCCGTCCCTGCCCGCCGTGCTCGGGGCAGCGCTCTGTCCCTGCCCGGGCTCCGCCGCTCCGGCCCCGCACGGCTCCTCCCCTGCCCGCTGTGCCTTTCCCACCCCCGGCTCTCCTTCCCTGGCTCCCTCCCGGCACGTCCCCACCTCCCGGGTAATGGGTTAATGAGCCACCATCTCCCGGGAGTGACGGATTACGCGGCCGCGCCGGCGCTCCCCGGTTCCCAGGGCCCCCCCTCCTCGCCCCCCCGCCTCCTCCCGCTTGCTGGTCGAAATCCCAAGTCTTCCTGTAAAAGGAACAGTCTGTGTGAACCGTCTCATGTCCCCCCCCCTCCTGCCCACGGCCCCCCTTCCACCCGCTGCACATTGGCCTCAGCCCCAGTTTAAAGGGACCAGTGACCTCACTGGCAACAGAAAACCGTGGGAAAGAGATGGGACTGATAAAGCCTTGAGTTGTTTCAGGGAAAAAATCAACATCCAGCCCCACACGCACACACATGTCTGCCCGGCTCCGCGCGGCGCAGGCACTCCTGGGTTCGGATGGAAAGCGGCTCGCTGGGAGCGCGGTGCTCCGCGGGGACGCCGCTCAAAGAGCCCTCGGCTGGCATCAATCCGCGGCCACTGCCGCGGGCCGGGGTGGCAGCGGTGGCACCGCGTTCGGGACAGCTCTGGCACCGCAGCGCGGGGGTCCCGCCGGGAGCTCGGCCCCCTGCCACGCTCCCACAGCCTTGGAGCCCTTCAAGTGCCAGCTCACGGCGCTGCCAGGGCGTTTGACACCTACCCTGTGAGACAAAAACGGCCGAAGCCCAACTTTAGGCTTTGCAACGCTGAATCGCTGTTTTCTGGTCTCTTTTCACAAAGCTGGAAACTTTAACCCGCAGCCCAGCATCGAGCGAGCATCTCCCTTTCCCCGCTCCTGCAGGAATCTGTTTTTCAGAACCCTGCGCTGCTAAAATCCCCCAAGGCAGTAAAAACGTGTGCGTGTGGGAGAGAGACAGAGAGAAGGGAGGAGGGAGAGCGCTGAAGTGGAGGTTCCCAGTACGAAAATAATGCCTTTTATTTTGAAGAAAATAATCAGCGCTGAGATCTGGCAACACGTGGGTTTCCCAAAGCCCTTCTGCAGAGACCGTGGCGGCGATAAGAGCCCGTCGCCGCTCGGGCCAGCCAAGCCGCCCGTCTCCCGTGGCCTCCTGGGGTGCTCCCTATCTCCCTCAGCCATCTCTGCCAGCTCACCCACCGAGGTGTCTGCAATTCCCCAGCAGCTCGCCAGCAGCTCCGGAAAAGCCAAATCCCAGCTCCTGCCTGCCCTTCGCCCACGCCTGCCCCAGCTGAGCAAAACACTGACCCCCCCCCTAAGCAGTTTTTGGGATGGAACCACACCATCCTCCCTTCTGAAGTGAAGCAGCAAGAACCTGAACCAGCCGTCCCGGGCTGGAGTGGAGCACTGATGTCTTGGCAGTGTTTGTAAACTGAAAAAAGGGAGTAAAACCTTTGCTTTAGGTCACAGCACTTTGTTACTCTAATTCTGGTGTTTTGTTTTCACTATGAGAAGTGGTCAAGAAGCCGAGCTGTTATTAGCTTACATTTCCAAATGAAAAGTTACTTTGAACCAGAAGAATTAGGAAAGTGTTATTTTAGCAGTTTTGAGACCCGCTCCTCCTCCCTTTCCAAAGGGATTTCAGTTAGAAACACATACATATCCAAACCAAACTTCCCATAAACATGTGTTTTTGAGAGATTAATACTCTTTCCACTGATAAAACCATTTCAATGGGATCCTGAGATTGGTTGTTTCAGGCTCTTGCTCATATCACAGCGAGCCTGAACCAAGCCGAGCCCAGACCTGCCACAGAGGAACACTTTTCTTCTCCATTAGAAAGGAATTCACTGTCCAGACTCCATCTTTTCTGGGCCCTGTCTAAGCATCATTATCTGGGTTCAATTGAAGTGTAATTGGCAACATGTTTTTCTAGGATTACACTTCATTATGAACAGAGCGGGGGCCCCAAAACCCACTTCTCCTGTAATCGGATCCCTTCTCCAGCCTGTGCTCCTGGAGAGTCGCTTCTAATCGACCCCAGGGATCCCAGGGGGGATTGTGAGGGACATCTGAGCCACCCCAGATGGAGCAGAGACCCCTCACAGGCCGCTTCAGTGGAGACAACAGGGAAGGATTAAATGGGCGTGAGGGGAGCTGATTTTGGGAGTGTCACCCATGTCCCACGGGAGGGAGCAGCCAGACCTCCCCCACCGCAGGCAGGGAGAGCTGGGGTGCAGAAATGGGGGTTCTGCCCCTCCTGGCCTCTCACTGAGTGGCTTTGCAGCCAATTCCCACGGTACAGTGACCCCGAGAGCAGAGCCACAAGCAGTGGGTGACCAACCTCTGCCCAGAGCTGATTTGCTCTTCCCTGGAGAGCTCCAGGCTTTGCCACAGCCAAGCCAGGGAATTATCAGAGGAAATCTCTCCCCAAGCCCTGAATTAACAGCGCTGGCCCCATGCTTGGGGCTGTTTCCCCTCTGCAATCACAGCAAGCATCGCTGCAATGCCTGTCCCCGTCCCTGGGACCCCTGTGAGACCCTCAGGGACTCAGGAGCTGGTGAGAGCTGTCCCCTACTCCGTCTGGCTGTGCCTCTCCGTGGTGGGAACTGTTTCCAGAGGATGGGTGTCACGAGGATGGGGCTAAGCCATCCATCACACCCAGCACTAATTGGCTACCCTGCTTCAGAGGCCAAGGAATAAGTGAGCTGCAAAGATTGATGTCCCTTCCCTGCAGCAGGAAAAACTCTCCAGGCCAGGATTGAGGGTGGATCCCTGCCAGGAACCTGGGATTGCCTGGGTTTGCCTGTGCCAGGCTTGTCCTGGGGGGTGAAGGGCTCCAGACTAAGTGTCCCTGGTGGGGCAATGGTCAGCCCGGCCACCAACTCCCCCCTCCCACGCTGGGACCACGCTGCTCCCTCCCCTCCCGCCTTCCCAGCTCTGGGAAATGTCCCAGGAGAGCGGCCAGCTGTGAAAAGCTGCAGCAGCTGGAATGTGGGAGGGAGGGCAAGGCTTCTGGAAAGCCAGAGGCAGCCGAGGAGCAGGACTTATCTGTTACCTCCCCGTGAACTGACACCTCTGATTTAACCCCGTGCATGCCTGGAATGCCCTGTCCTCACATCTTCAGTCAACATCACCTCCCAACCTCAGGTCCCACCGCCGCCTGCCAGAGCCACAGCTGTAATTTCCAAAAGCAGAGGCCTCACAGGGATGCTGGACAGGATTCCTGGCTGTGGACAGGCTGCCTCGCTCTGTGGCTAAGCAGATTCATCACGGGAGAAGCAGGCAGGGCTTTCAGGAGGTGATTTGGGATGAAAGCGTGGAGGGATGAATACGGTATCACCTCCGTGCTCTGTCAGATCTGGAGCAGGGCCAGCAGAGGATTGTTTGCCGTGGCTCTGCTCCAAGCCAGAGGCACCACAATTGCAAACTCCCCCCCACTTCCCCGGCCCACGCAATCCAGAGCCCGCCCAGCCGACTGCTACGGGCAGTCCAGGGGAGGGAAAAACAACATTTTCCCACAAACCCGTGGCCTCACCCTTCCCCAGGCAGGGACAGGGCAGATCCTGGAGCTGGAATTCGGTGCTGCCCTCACCACCCTGGCTGGGCTGGCTGTGTCCTCACACCTATTGCCCCACGGCGGGTCTGGGAATGTGGCTCAGCCCTGCAATCCCATGGGATGGGGCTCCACGAGGCTGCACCTGCCGAGCTCACAGCTGGGACACCCTGCAGCTGCTGCTGTCCCCTTGAGTCTGTGCCACTCGGTGTCACCAGGGCAGTGGGGCTGAGGGACAGCATCGCCATCCTGCTCTGGAATCAGCAGAACATCCTGATGGTTTAGCATCAGACACCACCAGTGGGTTGGGCCCTTGACATGCCTCAGTTTCCCCACTCATAATGGTGCTGCTGCACTGGGCACTCGCTTTACAGAGAAGCCACAATGAGTGATAATTGATATTGCACCAAACCCTAATGGGGTCACTGCATGTCCAGGAGTCCCCTGAGGTCAGGGCTCCCCTGTGGCCACCCAGAGAGGAGTGAAGACTTGTTACCACTGGACACTGGGTTGCTTCTCTCTGGTATTTTGTACCCATAGAGGGTGGTGGGCACAAGGTGAGGGTGATGGGGACAAGGTGAGGATGATGGGGACAAGGTGAGGGTGGTGGGGACAGGGTGGGAGTGGTAAGGACAAGGTGAGAGTGGTGGGGCACAGGTGAGGGTGGTGGGACACAGGTGAGGGTGGTGGGGCACAGGTGACCTGCTGTGGCACAGGATGGTCCCCGTGACCATCCTGCAGCCCTGGTTCCGTGGCTCTCACTCTCAGGGATGGGATGAGCCAGCCGTGGAGGTGCCAGCCCGGCTCCCACCTCTGGCCGCTGGAAAGCCTGGGATGGCCCTCGGGCTGCACTCCTGCTAGGAAACAGGAGGAGCTGGGATGGGAAAACCCGTGGCTGGCGAGGCAAGGTCCTGGCCTTCCCCCGGGGCCAGTCCCCAGGGCTCCGGGGAACACAATGCCTTTGTTTGGGACTTGGCCTGCGCAAGGAGCCCTTCCCTCGCTCAGCCCCAAAACACCAACCCTTCAAAAGGCCTGTCCTCCCCCTCCCCTTCCCCCAGCAATGCTAATGTGCCAGGCCTCTTCTCATGAACCCTGGGAGAGATCAGGCTGGTAGACAGTTTCACCACTTGTTAAATGTGTGTTTAGCGATCTTGTGAGTAGACAAGAACAAATACAAACAAGCCGGGCTGGAGAGCCCCTGCCCCTCCGCCCTGCCTGGAACGCACCAGCCCCAAAGCCTTTCTTCTCTAACCACTTCAAACTTTCATTTCTTCTGAAGCCACAACAAGGCACACTTTGTAAAGCAAATGAGTAAACAGCAACTTTCAGCTTAAAAGGAAAACAAGGGGGAGGGACTGTTTTTAATTACTGGATTTTAAAAAGGGCTTTATTCTGTTAATTGCTTTCTGTTGTAAAATGTTCTCCTGCACACAGCCCTGGTTCTAGCTGCGTTGCTGCTGGCCAGATGGCACTGCAGAGGCAGTGACAGCATGTGCCTGTGCTGCTTGGCTACACAAGTGCCTTGAACATTCACAGACATCACCCCCGAGCCCTCGCAGCCTCCTGGAAGTGACACGATCCTCGCTCAGACGTGGCCGGTCCTTTGGCATGTCCAA